GCCACCTGCGCCAGCACCTCCAGCTCCAGCACCCCCAGAGCTAGCGCCACCTGCGCCAGCACCTCCAGCTCCAGCAACCCGCGACCGAGTACCCCCAGACCGAGCACCGCCAGTGGCTGCACCTCCAGCTCCAACACCAACCGAGTCCACAGTAACCTGTCGTGGAAGTGCCGAAGGCTGCTGAGGGGACTGTGAGGAGGACTGCGGGGAGGGAGACGCTACCTGACGCGCGACCGAGGGTAGAGGGGTAACGTGGGACACACCAGACGGGGCAGGACCAGGGGGGGGCGGGGGTACCGGAGGAGCGGGAGCAGGAGGAGGAGAGGGTGCGAGGAAAAGAGGGGGAGGGGGTACCGGGAGACCTCGACAGGGGTACCGGGTGTAGTAGGACACGGACTCGTCAAACCGGACGTCACGGGAGTCTAGGAACTGGTGGAGGGGAGGGTGGTAAAAGGACCAGTCGGCGTGTCCACTGGGAAACCAAGGAAGACACAGGGGACGGCGCGTGCCGAGAGCTTGTCCGCGGAGGTGTCGCGAACAAGTGCAAGGCAGCCCCAGACTCGAAAGGCCGACCCGACACCAGGGGAACCAGTCCAAAGACTGGTCGGTGAAACCTCGGGCCGCGAGACACGCGGCTGGAGGTTCAGCTGGTGTGCGGCGTAGCGAACCGCGTGGGGCCACAGAAAATGGGGCGCACGTGCATGGATCATGGACGTGCGGGCGATGTCCATGACCAAGCCTATGCGGCGCTCAGCAACCCCATTCTGCTGTGGGGACTCTGGCAGCGTCCAGGACTGGGTGATGCCCTGTTCGCCGCAGAATCCGCCGAGAATGCCGGAGCGAAACTCGCCCCCGCGGTCGGAGTGGAGACAACTGACTCGACGACCACGAGTGCCCTCAGTGGCTAGAAGCCACCTGATCAGCGTAGCAGTCACCTCGGACTTCTTCGCAAGAGGGAACACTGTGGTGTACCTGGAGAAGTCGACGACGACCACCAGAAAGTAACACTCCCTCCCAGACCCCTGCGTCGGGGCAGGGCCCCAGACGTCCAAGTGGAGAGTCTCGAAGGGAGCGGTGGCCGGACGAAGGGAGGAGGAGTGGGGAGTGGCGCATAAGCGACCGGCGACGCACGGAGAGCAAGGAGGGGCAGGCGAGAGAGGGGGCGACGGGAAGGTGCGTGGGAGACCTGAGACAAGTCCCTGACTGAGCATGCCACGTAGGCGAGGGAGCGACGGGTGGCCAAGGCGGTGGTGCCACAGGACGGTGCGGTGGGTGAGAGAGCGATAGGAGCAAGACGCAGCGACTGGACTGGACACAGCGACCGGACCGGACACTACTACCTGGCTAGACACAGCAACTGGACTGGGGACCTGGGCCGGAGGGGACGCAACGACCTGAGGGGAGGACGCGACCGGGGAGCGCTCGGTGTGGAGGACGTAGAGACCGGAGCGGGGCTCCCTGGTGAACGTGGCCAGAACAGCACCTGTGGTAGCGTCTGTACAGACTGCAGTCCGCCCACCCCCCACGAAGGTAACCGTGATCCCCCTGTCCTGGAGGTATCCAACACCCACCAAGTTCCGAGTGAACGAGGGGATGTGGAGGCCGCGCAGGACACCAGAGGGGACCACAGGGCACGGGAGGGTGGTGGAGCTACGCGCAACGGCTGGTCCAGAGGTAGGATCAGCCAGAGCCACCGACACAGGTGTGAGGAGTGGCGTAAGGGTCGTGTGGTCGCGGAAGAAGCACTGAGGCGCGCCCGAGTCCAGCGTGAACGACAGAGAGGCCTTAGCCGGGGGGTCACCAGACCCAGTCGCTACACAAGCACCTAGAGCAGCAACACAAGCACCTAAGCTAGACAGGCACAAGGCTACACTAGCAGGAGGCAAGCAGGCTAACCTACGAACACGCGAGCACACAGATCCATCAGCACTAAAGTCAGCATCAACATACAAAGCATGCTGACGCGCATCGTCCATGGACAGATCAAAGACATCAATCTTACGGGCTAACAGACGAGACCAGCGAGGCGTGACCGCCAGAGGGCCCCAACGAGCCCGGTAGAGGTCGTCGAGGCAGCGGAAGCACCGCGCGGCAGAGTGGTCGTCGCGACCACAGAGACAGGGGCTGCCCGGCCCGGTGACGCACCAGTGGGTGCAGGGGCCAGCGTCACGGCGAGGGGGGCGAGGGGCCCAGCTGGAAGAGCTGCTGCTGCGGCCGGTGCTCCCAGGGCCTCCCGGACCCCACTGCGGCGGGGGACCCCAGTGCTGCTGCGGACCCCACTGCAGCGGGGGCCCCCACTGCTGGAACTGCTGCGGTGCCTGCAGCTGCTGCTGTCCCAGCTGCTGCTGCTGTCCCTGCTGTGGCTGGTGCTGCTGTGGCTGCTGCTGCTGGGGGGCAACGCCCCCACCGGTCGGCCCACCACCTGTGGGTGGGCCTGTCTGTCCTGCACCTCCTCCAAGGCCCCCTCCCCCTGGTGCACCACCGCCGCCGCCGCCGCCGCCTCCGCCACCACCGCCGCTCCCACCTCCACCGCCACCTCCACCGCCGCCTCCACCGCCCCCACCTCCCCCCTTCCCGCCCTTCTTGCCACTCTTGCCCCGTTTCTGCCAGTATGCGGCAGAAACGGCAGCAGTGTCCTCAGAGATTGACACAGCAGCAGAAGCGCGGGTAGCGGTGAAAGTGGGAAGCTGAGGGGCGGCACACCCCGCAAAGAGACGGGGGGCCACCGCATCAGTGGCGGAGGCAACGGTGAGGAGACTGCTCTCGATGGTCCCTAGAGCAGTCGCTAGGAGGTCGATAGTGAGCTCAGTGGGGTGCTTCTGAAGAAGCGCGTCGCGGGCAGTGGCAAGGCGGTCAGGGAGGCGGGTGACTAACCAGTGAACAGTGAGCCACATGGGGGGGGGAGCAACAAGAAGCTGTGCGTCGGTACAGGCAGCGCGGAAACCGGCGTCAAGCGAGCGGAGGTGAGTCACTAGGTCGGAAACAGTCGCAAACGAGCCTAGGTCGGGAAACACAAACGGCATGAGGAGGCGACTGAGGGAGGCAGAGGAGGGGGTGGAGTAGCGAGCAACAATAACCTCCCAAACCCCCTGTGCAGTCTCCACCTGGTCAAAGTGGGCGGCCTCAGTCGGGGGGAGAAGCTCCGACAGAGTGAGAGCGGCGGCTGCGTCACGCGAGAGCCACACGTCCCTGGCCAGGACCCGACGGTCGTAGTCCGCCTGGGCCGTAGGGGTCGGCTCCGGGGCGGTCGGCAGGGCGGCGGGGGACGGGGGGGCCTGTAGGGCACCAGACGCGTGAGCCCACAGAGTGGCGCCGTCCTGCCGCTGGCTGGTGAGGAAGCGCGTGGTCTGGCGCTGCCAGGTGCTAAACTCTATCGGGCGTCCCTCCGCGTCGAAACGGAGGCGACGAGACTCCATGACTGATGCCATGCTAGAGGCGGCTGGAGCTCGGCAGAGGCTGAGCTAAGAACGAGGAGGAAACCTACGGAGCGCCAGGAGGGAGAACGGCGGAGTGAGAGGCTGGGAGCACTGAGTGACCTAGGCTAGGCGTGAAACGGAGGATCTCCAGCTACAACGGCTAGGGGCGCGATACTAGCGGCTAAACGGCTCGAACCTAGGCGGGCGGCGAGAGAGAGCGGCTGCCAGCCGCTAGGTGATAGACCAGTGTCAGTAGAGCTGGGGAGGGCCCCGCGCACAAGGCGGTGGCGGGGCTAAGGCGCGTGCCAAGGGTGGGTAGCAGGAAGAGAGGGGCGGGGGGGGGGAGTTTGCGACGGTGGAAATGGGCGGGGAGGGCGGTTTTGACGGTGGGAATGGGCGGGTAGGGCGGTTTTGACGGTGGGAATGGGCGGGAGGGCGGTTTTGACGGTGGGAATGGGCGGGAGGGCGGTTTTGACGGTGGGAATGGGCGGGGAGGGCGGTTTGACGGTGGGAATACGGGCTAGGTCGAAGGCTGGGGCGACGGGCTAGGGTGTACGGGCCGCGCGTGGGCAACGGGCAGGGCGCACGGGCGCCGCGACGGGCTGGGGCAGAGCCTACGGGCGTCGCGACGGGCTGGGGCAGAGCCTACGGGTGTCGCGACGGGCTGGGGCAGAGCCTACGGGCGTCGCGACGGGCTGGGGCAGAGCCTACGGGCGTCGCGACGGGCTGGGGCAGAGCCTACGGGCGTCGCGACGGGCTGGGGCAGAGCCTACGGGCGTCGCGACGGGCTGGGGCAGAGCCTACGGGCGTCGCGACGGGCTGGGGCAGAGCCTACGGGCGTCGCGACGGGCTGGGGCAGAGCCTACGGGCGTCGCGACGGGCTGGGGCAGAGCCTACGGGCGTCGCGACGGGCTGGGGCAGAGCCTACGGGCGTCGCGACGGGCTGGGGCAGAGCCTACGGGCGTCGCGACGGGCTGGGGCAGAGCCTACGGGCGTCGCGCGGGCTAGGGGCAGGGCGCGGGCTAGGCGCGGAGGGTGGAGTGGCGCGGTTTAGGCGCGGAGGCACAATGGGTGCGGAGGTGCGAGCTAAGCGCGGAGGGCGCGAGCTAGGCGCGGAGGGCGCGGAGGGTGAACACTAGGCTAGGAACGGGCTAGGAACGGTCCTGCTCGTGATACCATCTCAAGAGTGGTTAGCAACGGAATGCTTGGAATAGAAACGAATGGGGTACAAATAAGCAACCCTAGAAACTGTACCCCCTAGAGTGCAACTCACTACAGCCTATCATATCAATGTTCAACATTTGACAGGTAGCTTTATCCTAGACAGGCAGCAAGCCTTTGTAACCCCCTCTGGAAGTGCAGCTTCCATGGGACTCTCGTGGCAAGCACTTTAAGCTGCACAAAAGAAAACATAGAACGGGAAAAGGGAAGGGTGAGTTTTGGCCTGAAAAGGTGGGAAAACAGGTAGATACTGCAGATGAGGAAACAGCAAGCCGGACGGATACAGCAGGGAACAGGATGAAGTAGTACGCTCAGCAGGCATGCAGCAAGAGGGTTATTATTACAGGGCAACGGCGGTCTCACCCTTGGGGTCCCAGAGGATGGTGGTGTCGGCGATCTTGGCCGTGACCACGTAGGGGTCCATGTTGCTGGCCGGCCGGCGGTCCTCAAAGTACCCCTTCTTCTCCGCCTCCGTGTCCCGCCCCACTCGCACCGAGCACCCACGGTTCGCCACACCCTGAAATACACAAGAGCAAGTCACAGAAGTCAATGAGCAAGAGTTCGTTCAAGCTACAGAAGCGCGTCAGTGCCATTCAGGTGGCTGCTTGTTTGGTACCAAGTCACATCTCATCATGCAACTTCAGAGTCATGCGAGAACATATTTATGTGCTGCACATACACATGCCATTCTCATGCACTGGTCATTATCACACGCCGTACCCATGAGAAGGTGTTGACGTCTGCAGTCTCGTGCTTGCCAGTGAGGCGCCGCTCGTTGCCCTCGCCATAGGCGGCGATGTGCTCCTTGTGCCGCAGGCCCAGCTTCTCAATGGCCTTCAGGATCACGTCGTACCCGCCCTCCTCGCGCATCGCCTTGGTGCTGTAGTTCGTGTGGCACCCTGCCCCGTTCCAGTCGCCCTGTGCACGCCCAAGCAAATAGAAGCGCGCGTATAAAGTCAGTGAGGTGTCAGGACTCCACAACGGCTTGGCCATGAGAGAGTCAATGATGCATCTAGGGTGAGTGATGGCAGAAAAGTGACGCAAGCAAACACAGCACCAAGCGCTTACCTGAATGGGCTTGGGATCGAGCGTCAGGACAACACCAGCCATCTCCGTCACTCTCTGCAAGAGCAACGCAGCACACAATGCGGCGCGTTAGGCAACGTGTACGCGACAAACTAGGTAGTAGAGAAGAACGAGAGAACGTAAGTACTTCGAGCACGATCCGGCTCCATACCTCGAGCAGGTAGCGTCCCATCCAGAGGTGATCGCCCGCCTCAATGCCCGTGCACGGACCCACTTGGAACTCCCACTGGCCGGGCATGACCTCTGCATTGATGCCGCTGATCTTGACCCCCGCGTACAGGCACGCCTTGTAGTGCGCGTCAACGATGTCGCGGCCCCACGCCTTGTCCGCGCCCGTGCCGCAGTAGTACGGCCCCTGCGGCGCGGGGTATCCGCCCGTGGGCCACCCGAGCGGCCAGTTGACGTCCTTCTGCATCAGCGTGTACTCCTGCTCCAGTCCGAACCTGATGAAACGGAGGCAGAGGGAAAGCAGCAGACGGTACTAGGAATCAGTGGTGGTCATAATGTACAACGGTCCAGCTCCTCGTGGCACCAACGCCGCATTGCTGACGCAAACGATTGAGAATTGTTCCAGGAATTCTTTACGAGTGAAGAGCGCTGCTCATGCGCTGACTCACCAGGCCTCGTGCTCCTTCACTTTCTCGAAAATTTCGGCAGCGAAGGCGCGCTTGTTCGTGGGAATGGGCTGGCCTTGCGGCGTGTAGCAGTCGCAAACGACCAGAATGTTGTTTCCTCCGCGGAACGGGTCCTTGAAGATTGCTTGCGGGCTGCAAGACAATGCGAGACGGATAATGAGGGTCAGGAGGGATACATGCAGACCGCAAAATCAACGGCTGATTCAGATGCACTTGAAGAGCTGGTTCCGATGATGGAAAGTCTGTCGCATCTTTGACAGCTTGATCGAGCTATTTCGGACTGAAAGGCATAGCGAAAACGGAACTCACTAGAGAATGACCTCGCTATCGTCACCGGGTGCCTGGCCAGTGCTGGAGCCGTCGAAGTTCCACTTGGGAAGCTTCGCCACGTCATCCGGTCCAATGGGACCCTTGAGAGTCTGGTCACATTCACGAGCGTGGAAACCATATATAAAACAGGATCACATTTACTGATCGAATATGCAGTGCGAGCAGCGGAGCGGTACGGAAAACGGTCCACAGATCATCTTTGACAAGACGCTTACCCGGGCCTTGCTCCGGATGTCAATGCCAGAACCACCGATCCTGCAAACACATAACGTCCTCGCATCACGTTAGGCTCCATGAACAGAAACAGGATGGAAGAATGCAGACGCGGTCGAATAAGAATGCAGACGCGGTCGAATAAGGAACATGGACTGACCAAATGTATTCAGCGATGACATATCCTGTGGTAATTTCGATGTTCTTCAGCTGATCGATGGAGGACGCCATGTTCACTAATTAACGAGGACGAAAAGCAGGCAGGTACGCTGAAAAGTAGGAGTTGAGAAACCTGTGGAACTAATGCACGTGTAATGAACGTAAAGTAACAGCTGCTGATAACAACTCTCATATACGGTGGATATTCTCGGTGATTCCTCTTGGGAGTTCCTCGACTAGCTGTCACTCCGTGATCAGAGTACCCAGGACGGTCTGGGTAGAGCAGCTGGGCAGCACAAGAGGAAACGCGCGGCGAGGTTTGCACTTTTTCCACTTGACCCATCGGCTGCTGATGCGTTGTTCTTCAGCCATTCACGGCTAGCCACATTTGAAATCTCTGCGTTCTACTGATTGGTTGCTATTCCACATCAGCCAAATCTAAAGGAGCCAAGATTCAATTTTGAAAAGTTCCGTGACATCGTGACCGTTCCACATCACAGATCGACGTTGTACCTTTGATAAGGCAGCTTTTTGTTGCGCTGTCCAATGCCCAGCAAAGATCAGCTAAAAGATCTTGGGGGCAGCGCGTCGCACGGAACTTTGGTTGGAGTTCCACGTGATCACATTTTCCTTCGTTGCTGGAAAAGGCTGGCTCTTGGAAATGGATAAGGTCCCCGAACCATTCAGTTCGAGCCATGTCAGCAATCTTTTCCTCCGAGTGGGCACTACAGCAGCCCGCTTCGGGTTTGCCCGTCAAAGGAGGAACCACGAGGAATCCCGCATGTCCTTTATTGGATATCCCCGATCACATGTCATTCCAGCATTGCATCGGCAAGTCCTTATTTCCCTCTGTCAGTCGTAGCTGTCGATTATATTATTCATGTATAAAGATGAGCAGTGCATACACATGTTTAAGGATCAGTTTAATGAGTAACGGATTGTGTACAACTTCACTAGGGTGTAAATGGTGTAATGATAAATAGCTTGTTACTCGGAAAAAAAAAATACATCAAATAACATCTGGTCAGATAATTGTTCAGTGTGCACTACTTTAGTGCACTTCAATCAACTTCATTTTGGTTTAGTTTGCACTTCAATCAACTTCATAGCCAGGTGGGTCCATCCAACACCAAGCCTAACTGCTAAAACCAAAGCGAAATGTGAATCTTCCAGGGTCCACTCTCCAGCACCTGCCAGAGTCAAAGGTGCAACATTCAATACACAGGTTAAGCAGCACATCTGACCCGTCAAGATGTACTACCCATTGAGCAGTCAGCGTACCATGTTGCGAGGACACAATCAAGCAGCTAACTTGCGACTGAAACAGCCATAGTTGCCTGAAACGATAAGCCACACACACAGCCTTTGAAGGCCATGTTGTTCTACAGACCCCCAAGGCAGCGAGCATGCACTTGAGAGCAAGCCCACCAGTAAATTCAGGGATCCGAAGTTTCACACAAAGACTGCACCAAAATGATACAACACCACAGATCAAACTACAAGGGAGATGAATGGGGAAAAAGGGTAGGGCACAGGACATGGAGCAAGGAGCAGTCAGCTGGTAGTGCATGTGAGTATTCCTCATTGTGTATCAGCACAGGTCTATGAGTTTGTTCATCATGCTGCTCTGACCCACGGCGTGACAAACGAAGCTCTACAAGAACAGAAAACATCAAGCTTGAAAGATTTTAGTAGTACAGAGCAAGTTCGAAAAGGGGCCAATTGCCTCAGTCAAAGTTGAAGTTCGGTGATTGTGTGCAATCATAGACACGCTCAGGAGTTTACGGAAATAAGAGCATCACTGGCAATATGGGAGGGCCGAGCTATGTGGAAAACCAATTGAGTAACCAAAGGTGAAAATAAGCCAGCATCAGGGTGTTTCGACACACCCCAAAACACAAGCACGAGGGGCTTTGAGACGAATCAAAACACCAGCACCGAGGTGCACAAGTATGACTTGACTTACGCTACCCTTACAATTAACTTAGCAGCAGTCAAACAGCAGCAGTGAAGGAAGGAAAAGCCTAAAAATACTCAAAACAGAGGGACAGAGAGAGGACCAGAAGAGCCATTGGCAAACAGTGGTGTCCAGAGCAGTCAGCTGGTAGTGCATGTGAGTACTCAGCACTGTGAATCAGCACAGGTCTATGAGGTTGATCATCATGCTGCTCTGAACAACCCCACTGGATGCTGCCACAACAGCAGAAACGGGGTGTGGTGTGACACGTGCCTGAATAGCACACGCTGCTGTTTTAAGCAGCAAGACGTAGTCATGCACAATTGGACCAACGAGAAGACGACGTTTAGGAACACGCGGAGTGGAGGGGGCTTGAGACGGAATCATTTGCCTCAGTAAAGTTGAAGTTCGGTGATGTGTGCAATCACAGGCACGCTCAGGAGTTTACGGAAATAAGAGAATCAGCGGCAAATAACCTGACCGATGGTACGTGGTAACGCCACACCCTGAACGGGAGGACCCCCGGACAGCACGAGGCAAGGTAAACCACCAGGGCACTGACCTGCGTCATCAGAAGCATGGAGGTGGTCGTTGGTGAGTCCATGGGGGCCAAGAGCTGAGGTCCGCCGGTTTCGAGCGAGGTCAGCGCCATTGAAGCCACATCAGCGCCAGCAAAGCTAAGTCCACCTAAGCGACGACGAGTCAGAGGCAGAGAAGCGGAGTCAACGCCATTCAAACGGGTCAGCAAGGGTGTATGAGAGCCGCATGGCACTGTCCGCTGCTTCCAGGATCCTTCCGTCTCGCCTCCAGGTAGGTGAGATAGGGCAGGCCCGGGTCCAACATCCGACTGAGAGGCAGTTCTATGGGCTGCAGGTCACAAGCACCAAGCACGCACCATGCGAGCACCAAGCAGGCACCCAGCACCAAGCAGGCACCCAGCACAAGCATGGATCAGTAAGAGTCACAGCCCAAAACACACACGGAAGGCGGAATGCAATTAGCTGAAGCAACCATTCGAAGTAGTAAGATACAGCGAACGGATGTGAGAGGAAAAATCACAGGGGTGGGGTGATGGGCCAAGGGACGGTCACAGAGAAAGAACAAGAAAAGCTTCTGAACTTCAATGTGATTTTCTCCTCACCTGAATGGTCAAGTCATGGGCGATGGTGTCACCATGGGCGCCAAGAGCCGAGTCAGCCGGTTTCACGCCAGGTCAGCGCTACTGAAGCCAGCGACGCCAAGTCCACATCCGTGAAGACGAGTCAGAGGGAGAGAAGCGGAGTCAACGCCATTCAAAGGGGTCAGCAAGGGTGTAAGAGAGCCGCATGGCACTGTCTGCTGCTTCCAGGATCCTTCGCTTCGCCTCCAGGTAGGTGAGATACGGCAAGCCCGGGTGCAACATTCGACTAAGAGACAGTTCCAGTGGCTGCAGCATGCAACACCAAGCACGCACCATGCAAGCACCAATCAAGCACCAGGCAAGCACCATGCACATACCAGGCAAGCAACCAGGAACTAACCAGAAAGAATCAGCAGCAGGCACCCGCAACCAAGCAGGCACCCAGCAAGCGTTACAGCCCAGGCCACACACGAGACGGGAGTGCACTGAGCTAATGAAGCAGCCACAGATGAGTAAAAGACAGCCAGCAAACGTGGGTGAGGATAACCACTGGTGAGAGGTGATGGGACACAGGACGAACACTGGAAACGAGGAAGAATCTTGAAGCTTTAGCTTCCTACTGACCTCGATAGTTACATCCTTCTCCACTTCTTTCGCAAACTCCCTCGTCTCTGCGCCAAACCCCGTCCCCCTCGGCCCCCAGTAGTGGTGCATGCGCAGCTGCGCGGGATCCGCGCGCTGAGTTGCGCCCACGGCCATGGGGAAGAAATGCGGCGCAACGCGCATGTCCGCCCACTGCTCCACCGCTGCCACGCGCACGATGGGCTTGGAGCGCTGCAGGTGCTGCCGCCAGTCCGCTAAGTGCTGGCACTTAGTAAAGCGGCGGAAGAGGAAGGAGGAGCGAGGGGATTCGCTGTTGCCTACGAAAAAAATGTTTGGCGCGAGAACCTGAAAATGGGATCAAAACGGTTGAAATGGGGCAGAGTTGAAGACGGGTTAAGGGTCGGAACATCGGATGCGAGGGGAGCCGGGGTAGACAGACGGGAACAGACACGGCAAGGCACAGCTCAATAACGAAACAAAATCACGCATGACGCAATCGGCCGCGCGCAAGACGCGTACCTGGGTGACGGAGGGATCCGCGAGCGAGACGTTGCGCATGAACCGGAAGAGGAAGCCCGCGCGGAGATCCCGAGGGTCGAAAATGAACTCGTCGACGTCGCAGAACACCACCCACGTGGACGCATTGCGGTACTCTTTGAGGTAATGCAGTATCGCGCCGTTCTGCTCGGGAAAGACGACGTACGCGGCGCTGAGAACGCGGTGCAGCGGATGAAGGGCCCGAGGGCTTCCGCCTGGCGTTCGGACGCGTCGTGCGCGCAGTCGTACCAGAAGACGTGCTCCACGCCGGCCAGCCGTGTGAAGGCCACCCACTGCACGACGACAACACCAAGCATGCATTTCACGCCGGGAATCATTCAGCCAGTCACCGAACACAACCCATTCACACCACACCAGTCCAGCAAAGAACACCGAAGGGAGAAGGTCGTGAGAGAAGGAAGGTGCCAGTGCAACGACGGCGACGACTATGGAGATGTGAAGCCAGCAAGTCAGGACGGCGAGCAGATGCAGGGAGGTAATTAGATAAACGGTATCAACAGCGGGTGTGGGGATGGGGAGGAAGAGGGGGGAGGGAAGGGGGGAAGCTGTAAGGGAAGTGAAGAGGAGTGTACGACGAAGGAACGGCGCTGAGAACCCGTACGCAAGATGCTGCAGAAGCATGGTGGTCATGACGCCTAGCAGCACGTTGAAAGAGCAGCGTAGGTGCTGATGCACGATCGATGGTCCACGTGACGTCCAAGCCGGCGCCATAGCAGATGGAGATGCCATCGTGGCTGGCAATTCGGGTCTTAGGGGCAATATTTGAAATAATGCATGCCCGACAGCATGATTACTACTTCGCAGGAATCACGACGACGCGATGTGAGGTAAAGCCCAACGACACGCATCACCTCGTGCCTTCTAGCGACAGCGGGCCTTCAGCTTGGAAAGGTGTATACAACCCTACCAAAGATGAGAACAAGCAGCGCTTGAACTAGCAGGAACAACCTCGTCGCCAAAACGAACCCTCGGAACGCACATAGACAATACCGCGTGGCTGCCTGCCCGACTGGTGGTCACCTCCAAGATAAATGTAATATTGGGGAACTGTAGAAAATGAAGGGACAAAGCAAAACGACTAGATAAAAAACTTTGGCATGCTGTATAACCAATCAATTTTCCATCACTTAGATACAGAAACACGTTGTTAGCAATATTAACGTACCGTATCAATCTTTTGAGCATGGCATGCCTTGAAGGTTGGGGTTGCCATGTTGAATCAACTAGGTATTATTGCCCTATAAAACGCAGCAGACTCCTCCACACTAGTAGTTGTTTGCGACTCGACTACATTCCGGTAACAATCAGATATATATGCAATGCCAGCTATGCCCACCCACAATGCCCTACCATAACGCACCAGTTACAATAACTCACCAAATACCATAATGTACACGTTATCATAACACACCATTACAATAATGTAAGCGTTACCATTACACACCGTTACCTTCCGCGTTTTGGGGCTAGAAGCGCTCCTTCCGAGCGTTTTTCTTCCGCCGGGTCATGTGGCTCCGCTTGTCTGGGCCTACTGTCAAGCCAGCAAGGGCGTGTGAGGGTTGCGAGCATCATCGGTCATAGGCGCTCGCGAATGAAGAGCGCCCGCTGCACTTCCTGCACATGTGCGGATCCTTCCGCGTTTTTGGGGCTGGAAGCGCTCGTTCCGAGCGTTTTTCTTCCGCCGGGTCACGTGGCTACACTTGTCTGGACTTATTGCCAAGCCAGCAAGGGCGTGGGAGGGTTGCGAGCATCATCAGTCATCGGCGCTCGCGAATGAAGATCGCCCGCTGCACTTCCAGCACATGTGCGGATCCTTTTGCGTTTTGGGGCTGGAAGCGCTCGTTCCTGCGGAGATAACTGCAGCAACGGGAGCTAGACTATGGGCTAGGCACGAGTGCTCGTGTGATATCTGCGTTCGTTGTTCCTTAGTCATTTTCCTAGTGCACACACTGCTTGTTAGTTCACGGGGCGATTTGGCAAGAGTTTCACCAAGAAAGGTTGACAACAATGGTTGCAACAACATTGACAACACAGACTACATCATAGCTAGCTAGGCTGCTGGTCGACCTCCAGCGCAGCATGGTCGACCGCGCTCCAGCGCAGCAGCGTTCGCACCGCTCCAGCGTTGCAGAGTAGCGGTGCGCCAACGTTGCAAGTCCACGGTGTGCCAACGCTGCAGCAAGTCGGCTGCACAGCGTTGCATCCGCAGGACAACGGTGCACCAGCTTCGCAGGTGCGTGCGGCTGGTTGGTGCTCCACATCTTGTCACGCGCACAGTGCAGACGCCTGGCAGACTCCACGCCAGCGATTGCGCCCACCAGCCACGTCGACCTCGAGATACCACCGCCGAGGTCGGCCTCGCAGACGTCACCCCGGCGACACTCGCGCACGTCGCCCGGGTATCCCGGTCGACCGGGCAACCACATCTGGTCGACCAGCTCGGTCGGTCGCCGGCTGCACAAGCCCGGCGTCCCCAATGTTCGGCGCCCACCACCTCGGCGCCCTGTTGCCCGACGCCCAGCTGCTCGGCGTCCTACTCCTCGACGCCCTCCAGCTCGGCGCCACCAGTCTCCCCTGTCGTGGTCGACGTCGGCCCCTCCTTCGTCGACCACCAGGTACGGTCGACCACCAAGTCGACGATACCCCAAGTCGACCAACCACCAGGTCGACCAGCAGTCCTTTCAGCCGGCCACCCAAGTCGGCTGCCCCAAGTCGGCGTCACCAAGTCGACGCCCCACACAGGTCGACCTCCCAAGTCGACCTCCCCGAAGCCGGCGCCCCCGAAGTCGGCGCCCTTGCAGTGGCCCTCGTGCAGGTCGACCAACCCCGTCGACCTGTTCGCCCACTGCTGTAGGTCGGCTGCTCCCTTCACACCCGACCACGAAGTCGGCTCCGCCCAAGCGAGGACGGGGCCACACCCAACTCCCGTTCACAGTTCCAAGCGTTTTTCTTCCGCCGAGTCACGTGGCTGGGCTTGTCTGGGCCTATTGCCAAGCCAGCAAGGGCGTGGTTGCGAGCATCATCGGTCATCGGCCCTCGCGAATGAAGAGTGACAGCTACACTTCCAGCACATGTGCAGATCCTTCCGCGTTTTGGGGAAGGAAGCGCTCGTTCCGAGCGTTTTTCTTCGTTGGCTCACGTGGCTGCGCTTGTCTGGGCCTATTGCCAAGCCAGCAACGGCGTGGGAGGGTTGCGAGCATCATCGGCCATCGGCCCTCGCGAATGAAAAGCGCCCGCTGCACCTCCTGCACATGTGCGGATCCTTCCGCGTTTTGGGGTTGGAAGCGCTCGTTCCGAGCATTTTTCTTCCGCCGGGTCACGTGGCTGCGCTTGTCTGGGCCTATTGCCAAGCCAGCAAGGGCGTGGGAGGGTTGCGAGCATCATCGGTCATCGGCGCTCGCGAATGAAGAGCGCCCGCTGCACTTCCTGCACATGTGCGGATCCTTCCGCGTTTTGGGGCTGGAAGCGCTCGTTCCGAGCGTTTTTATTCCGCCGGGTCATGTGGCTGCGCTTGTCTGGGCCTATTACCAAGCCAGCTAGAGCGTGGGAGGGTTGCAAGCATCATCGGTCATCGGCGCTCGCGAATGAAGAGCGCCCGTTGCACTTCATGCACATGTGCTGATCCTTCCGCGTTTTGGGGCTGGAAGCGCTAATTCCGAGCGTTTTTCTTCCGCCGGGTTATGTGGCTGTGCTTGTCTGGGCCTATTGCCAAGCCAGCAAGGGCGTGGGAAAGTTGCGAGCATCATCGCTCATCGGCGCTCGCGAATGTAGAGTGCCCTCTGCACTTCCTGCACATGTGCGGATCCTTCCGCGTTTTGGGGCTGGAAGCGCTCGTTCTGAGCGTTTTTCTTCCGCCAGGTCACGTGGCTGCGCTTTTCTGGGCCTATTGCCAACCAGCAAGGGCGTGGGAGGGTTGCGAGCATCATCGGTCATCGGCGCTCGCGAATGAAAAGCGCCCGCTGCACTCCCTGCACATGTGCGGATCCTTCCGCGTTTTGGGGATGGAATCGCTCGTTCCGAGCGTTTTTCTTCCGCCGGGTCACGTGATTGCGCTTGTCTTGGCTTATTGCCAAGCCAGCAAGGGCGTGGGAGGGTTGCGAGCATCATCGGTCATCGGCGCTCGCGAATGAAGAGCGCCCGCTGCACTTCATGCACATGTGCGGATCCTTCCGCGTTTTGGGGCTGGAAGCGCTCGTTCCGAGCGTTTTTCTTCTGTCGGGTCACGTGGCTGCGCTTTTCTGGGCCTATTGCCAAGCTAGCAAGGGCGTGGGAGGGTTGCGAGCATCATCGGTCATCGGCGCTCGCGAATGAAGAGCGCCCGCTGCACTTCATGCACATGTGCGGATCCTTCCGCGTTTTGGGGCTAGAAGCGCTGATTCCGAGTGTTTTTCTTCTGCCGAGTCACGTGGCTGCGCTTGTCTGGGCCTATTGCCAAGCCAGCAAGGGAGTGGGAAAGTTGCGAGCATCATCGGTCATCGGCGCTCGCGAATGAAGAGCGCCCGCTGCACTTCCTGCACATGTGCGGATCCTTCCGCGTTTTGTGGCTGGAAGCGCTCGTTCCTAGCGTTTTTCTTCCGCCGGGTCACGTGGCTGCGCTTGTTTGGGCCGATTGCCAAGCCAGCAAGGGCGTGGGAGGGTTGCGAGCATCATCGGTCATCGGCGCTCGCGAATGAAGAGCGCCCGCTGCACTTCCTACCCATGTGCGGATCCTTCCGCGTTTTGTGGCTGGAAGCGCTCGTTCCGAGCGTTTTTCTTCCGCCGGGTCACGTGCCTGCGCTTGTTTGGGCTTATTGCCAAGCCAGCAAGGGCGTGGGAGGGTTGCGATCATCATCGGTCATCGGCGCTCGCGAATGAAGAGGCCCCGCTGCACTTCCTGCACATGTGCGGATCAGGGCTGACGATTCAAGGGCATTTGCCCTTAATGCCCTGAACATTAAGGGTTGACATTGCTCCAGGGTCCGAATTTAAAGGGTTGCTTTTGAGTACAGCCCTGAATTCTAAAGGGCGTCATCAGGGCCTTCCCCTGATTCTTACAGGGCGCATTCGGGGGCTTTCCCTGATTCTCCGTACAAGTTCGGGGACTTTCCCGGAGCCCTCCCCACTCCTACCTGCCTTCCTCTTAACTCTCCCCTGTCCCCCACCCCTTGTTAGAGCCGCAAGCTTGCCACCTCACCTATGATGGAAATTTGAGACAATTACGGCTTCTAGTGTTAGAGCAGTGTACATTTGTGAACGTCCAGGTAATTCCTGCCCTGAACGCTAAAGTGTTTCCCTGATTTCAAGTGTTAGAATGGGGCCTT